CCCGACAACTTTCTCCCTCCGTACTGGTTTACGTGGCTGTTGTACGGACGGCTGGCCACAAACCCGGAGGAGGACATACCGTATACTGCCTCCAACGGCCGTGACGTTCAAGGGGTGGGCAGCGGAGGCCTCAGCGACGACTCCTACGAGGAGCTCAACAACTACGGCGACGACGACAACGATGACGATTTCGACTTCGACTGCGGCGCCAGCAGCAGCAGCGGCGGCGGCGGCAGCGGCAGCGACGGCGGCGGCGGCGGCGGCGGCGACAGCAGCAGCAACCGCAGCGGCGGCAGCAGCCACGGCGGTGGCGGCGGTGGATTTGAAGACGGCAAGGGTGCGGGAAGATAGCGTCTGCCTCGAAATCTGGAGAGGGAAACCGAAGCAAGTCCAGCGGCAACACCGGCGAGGGGATGCGGCGGAAGGTTGCAGCGACCAAGGTGGGAATCAAGAAGGGAAAGAAAAGGGCCAGCAGTAGTGGCGGTGCGTCTGGGGGGAAGCAGTCGGTAATGAGGAGCAAGACGCCATGAAGTTTTTGTCAAAACCTACAGAGATCCTCGGTAGGCGGGCTACGAAGGAGAGGGATCGCGAGGAGAAGAAGAAAGCTCGGGGCGATGCAGCAGGGATGCAGGAACAGCTCAAGATTTTCCGAGAGAGCCAGGTCACTCTGGCAAAGGTGACGCAGCAGGTCGCAGTGATTTCGAGAGCTTTGGGGCTTCAGGCGAAGACAGAGCAGAGAAGGGAAAGGATTGACGAGCTGAAAAAGGTGGAGAAACTGTATCGGGCTCGCGGCATGGAAAAGAGGGCGGACGAGGCTGCTGCGCAAATGCTGGCTATTTTTGAGTCGCCGATAGCACCGGTTTTTGGTGGTAGCGGTACCGTTGCTGCGGGAGTCACCACCTCTGGGGGCGTGGGCATGATGGAAGGCGTAGAGGGCGGCGCCGGCGGCGGTGCACAGGGCGACACCGTTGACGTGGATTTAGCCGGATGCACGAACGGCAACCGGAGTGACAACGCGGTCTCCGACGAGGCTGCCTCCGTCCGGGCATGAGCAGGTGAAGCCGCCCGCAACCATGCCAGGGCTACAGGAGGTCCGGGATCGGAGGCTACGTCGGGTGCTGCTGCCCAGTACTACGCCTCACTCGGGGCTGCGCCTAGCGGACCCGCCGTCGACGTTATGGAGGTGGACATTTCGGATAGTGACGCGGATGCGGGGGGCAACGTGCTTGGAATGGACGTCGACGGCGATGGTGGTGTTCGCGGAGACGCTTGAGGCGGCAGTGCCGGCAGGGGCTTTGGGGGCGGCGGCGAGGGAGTGGGCGGTGGAGGCAGGCCGGAAAGACCGCAATGCGACGAACACCAACTTCCGTGCAAACTCTTGATACTTCGAGTGAGTAAACAGTACGTTGTTGTCTGGGGTACCGCGTAGGGTGGTGGCGCTCATGTTGGTCGATGACAGGGCTCGGCCCTACGAGTTCTTGGTTTATTTGTTTCTCGCGGGCGTTCGGTGTACCTCCAATCCAAGAGCCCAACTGACCTCGGCGTGTATACTACCCTTCCCCGTCGTCACGAACAAATCGCACACTCCAGGGCAAAACATATTGGACGACATCGACAAAATGTGCGACCACTTCGAGGCTGCGGACGGCGTGACGGTGGATGGCGGTTCCGGGGGGGCCTCGGATGCTTCAGCGGGCGCCACTGGTGCCGCCGCGAAGGACAAACGCGGCGGGTCTTCCGTGGGCAGCGCCGGCAGTGGCTTTGGGGCTGGTGGCGAGGGCGCGGGCGCTGGAGGCGGGCCGAAACCACCGCAGTGCAAGGAACACGGCATTCCGTGTAAAATATTGCAGCGTCAAGTGAGTAAAAGAATGCATGCCGTTTGTGTGTGGTGATATATGGGGTACCGCGTAGGTTGATGGCGCTCATGAGGCGATGTGTTGCTCGCTCATCACCGATTCCGGCCTATCAGTTAATGGTTAGTTCGCATTGGTTTTTCGGGAGTATCGCAATTGGAAAAGCCCCACTTATCTTGCCTCGAGCACATCTGCCCTCCCGAAATACCGCACACCCCAGGGCGAAAACTATTGGGAGTGCGGCATGGGCAAGGTCGAGGATATGTGCGACCACTTCGAGCGTGCGCGCGGCGTCACGGTGGATGGCAATTCCGGTGGGGCTGCGCCTGCTGCCGCGGGAACCGCTCGTGCCGCCGCCAATGGTGTTGGCGGAGTGGCTTCGGTGGGCGCTGGCGCCGACNCGCATTGGTTTTTCGGGAGTATCGCAATTGGAAAAGCCCCACTTATCTTACCTCGCGCACATCTGCCCTCCCGAAATACCGCACACCCCAGGGCGAAAACTATTGGGAGTGCGGCATGGGCAAGGTCGAGGATATGTGCGACCACTTCGAGCGTGCGCGCGGCGTCACGGTGGATGGCAATTCCGGTGGGGCTGCGCCTGCTGCCGCGGGAACCGCTCGTGCCGCCGCCAATGGTGTTGGCGGAGTGGCTTCGGTGGGCGCTGGCGCCGACGGCATGGGGGGTCTTCACGGAGCGTCGGCGGCTGTTGGTGCGCCTGCTGCCGCGGGTACCGCTCGTGCCGCCGCCAATGGTGTTGGCGGAGTGGCTTCGGTGGGCGCCGGCGCCGGCGGCATGGGGGGGCTTCACGGAGCGTCGGCGGCTGGGGGTGTTGCTGACGACACCCGTTCCCACGCACTAAATGCTTGGGACCTTGCTATTCAAGCCTTGGCCCAGTTCCCCAATGGTAGCCAGGTGGCGGGTGCAGCTGCGGCATTCATACAAGCTCGCATGAACGGAAGGTCAGACACGTAAGACTACATTGACGGTGTCAACACAAACACCGACCATTTGTGTGCGAATCGTATGCAATGTTTTCTCGAGGGTTGCTTTCTAGGGGGCCAAACCGGCTGCTGTCCCGGTGATTTCGGTGTCGTGTGGTGTACGTCGTGCCGTGTTGTGCGTCGCTCGCCGCGCTCCTTGTGTTAGCTCTCCCCTGGTGCCCTTGTTCTTGTTTTTTTGTTTCCCGTCAACAGCGTCTTCGATTTGCACGTCTGTTGAGCGAGGTGTTCATCCTTGACCATGAGTTAGGAGGTCGAGCAGGAAGGAAGACAGCTCAAGAGTTTGTTCTGGCTTTGCAGTAATAAGGGGGTGACTTCCAGTGCACAGCTCTGCCGGTGGTTCAAATTTCGTCTCCCGCGTGGAGTGCGATTGTACGGGAATGTTTCCTCTAATACCCGACTTGTTTGTTTCCTACCGAACTATCGGGCGGGTTTTTGGGTTTTAGGGTGGTCGGTTAATAAGCACTTGCTGCCTAATTTGTCTCCGGGGGAGAGGGATCCCCTTGTTCCGTAGATCTCCCTCGGTATTTCTTTTCGCAGCCTGGGGCACTGCTGTCCCGACGATTTCGTTTGTTCGGCTTGGATATTTAGCTTGTGGAATATCAACCCTCGCGCATCCCAATAGAGTCTTTCCTTCTGGTGTCGTTGATATGGTCTGGTGAACAAACCATTTTGTCTACGTTCCATGTCGATATTTATACGTGGACATTATTCCCAGGGAAAGGCGGCTGGAGAAATTGTGCGTAGCGGAATTGATATCGCCGACGAACATTGTGAGACAGAATAGATCTCATATCGATCAGTAGATATCCGGGTGATGACTCCCGTTTTTTGGGTTCGTGTTGCAATTGACGAGACGCCGTATGGTCATGGTACGGGGACCTCGGCCTGGCCGCATTTCTTCATGAGTTTTTAGTGTTTTGATACGAAGGAAAATATACTCCGCATTAGTTGACGTAGTCTTTGTTGGGGCTACAGTACGCAAGTGACTGTTTCGCGTAGAACAAGCTTTCTTCGCGCTGAGTTCTTCATAGAAAACGTAGGTTTGTAGATTTATTCGCGTACAATGATGACTAGCAAACTTCTCCAAACTCGGGTGGGGGGCTGCTACATAGGTGTGTTACCGGGCACAAAAAACAATCGGTAGACCCTGTGTGTCAGTTGATTGTTGGAGACTTCGGTTGTCATGTTTGGGTCTACACTCTGTCACACCGTTCTCTTTCGCGAGGCTGCCGATCTTTCACTCTTAGTTTCAACCTCTTGCTCATTTTCTTCTCAGCGGTCGGCCTCTATGGGAAAAATGCAAACAAACGAAACATGGCCCCTGGCCTTGCGATACGCGTGTCACCGGAGGCACCCTCAAGGCGGTGCAACCGTTCTTGTTTACGCATACGGGCCAACACAGTACCGGCGTTTCACTGCTGTGCAGGAAGGTCTTACCTACAGGACCACAAGACCACAGAATTGTGCAGGTGCACGTTTTTTTCTTCTGTCTTCTGTGGAGGACACCTGTCGAGAGTATGGCAACCATTGCACCTGTGTACAATACACGTCAAGATAGGATACGACACTTCCGAGGCGGAAGAGTCGACAATAAAAGCACCGCGAGAGCTAATGAATTGCGGAGATTTATGGCAATTCACCGAGGGGAATCGGAGGGTTGCCTTCCGACCCTCCTTTCGCCCCTCGGGCCACTCTTCCTTTATCTAGTTCCTCTCGCTACATTCCTCAACCCTAGCAGCCCTTGGCAGTGGGTTTAAAATGCGGCGACAACGGCCCCTGTCCCTGACAGAAGCCTGTGTCCTCACTTCACAATTACTAATCTGTAGCTCTCTTTTCCAAAACAACCATAGGAGCCTGTGGTCACATATTTGGGTACACCCGACGCCGCAAAAACTTAACAAAAACAAAAAATATGTTGTACCGTAAACAAATGTAACGTACATACGCACGCGTCAGGCCATGGGAACACAAAGCAAACCACTCCGACCCAAAAACATAATGCTGCGAAAAACAAGCTAAACAAACAGTCTTCCGCCAGCAGAGCGAAGGAAACTCCGCCTAGCCTCGAGGCTGTCCCACCCCCCCTCAACAAAAAAGGCGCAAAGATGGACCGAGAAAGGATAAATAATACACCGAGACACAGAGGCCAAATCTGATGCCAATGCGCAGACAGTTGTATGGATTACTCGAAGGGAATCAGAAACAGGCCAGACACGATTTCATACAGTAGACCACATACGACAATGATACAACAACACGGCAAAGTGTAAAGAAGGCCAGGCAAGGGCAAAGGCAAAGGCAAAGGCGACACTTGGTAACAAGAACCAAAAACGAAACATGACGATGCTAACGCCGGAGAGGGATGTAGTCTTCAACAGGGGGATTGATTCCAAAATGCCACTAATTGCAGCCGACGCCCCCCCCCCCTACCTCCCCGCCGTCAACGTAGCAGCATGTGACTTCTCAACGCTCATCACGACCTCTTCCACCCAACGGTCCCCTGTCCCCATCGGTAAGCGAAGGTGGTCACCAACGGCCGGCGCACTCATCCGCACGTCAGGGTGCACGATGTCTTCGTCGAGGTCGCCGTCCGCTCCGGCCCAGTCGCAGTACGGCTCCAAGAGCTCGATCCCGTCGTAGGCGAGAAGCATGTTGTGCAGTATCATGCACGTGAAGAAGGTGTTGTCGATCCTCTCTTTCTTCCTGTAGAGGAACTGCATCTTGCAGATCCTGAACCGACCCTTGACGACGCCGAAGCAGCACTCCGAGTCCTTGCGGACGCCCTCGAGCTGTCTCTTGAACCCCGACTCGGCCTTGGTTGATGGCACCCTGATCGGACTCTGGAGCTGCTTCCACTGAGCAAGGATGGGGGCCATGGCGGGTGGGCGGGGAGCGAGGACAAAGTGAATGGGTACGACATTTGAATCAAGCCTTGAAGACGCACATGGGGACCGCTGAAGATTACCGCAGACCAGCACATGAACTACCATCACGTCTAACCCCGACGACGACCGTGATATTCCGAAATTTACACAAGGTGGGGTTCAGTCTCCACCACCATCGTCGCGGGGGAAAAGCCAACAGATACACGAACTCGCATACAAGCAGGCAGACAAGCACGTACGAACACTCTTCGGTTGAAGCATTTGGAGAGCATCCAAATTGTCGGTTGTCAATTACACTGCCGAAACGTTTCACGCAGACGTATTGCGAGGACCGCGCGGACTGCGTCGCCCTTTTGGAGACACATTTGCATAGAATATACAGCGTTTGTCTGTCCATTCACCTAAAAAACAATGCACCTGCCCGAGGGAGAAGCCAACAACCTGTGGTATATAACGCAAACCTGCCGTATCGTGATATACGTAAAACACATCCGAACTTGAACAATAGCAACCCGTGTGCCGTAGCGCAGCACGTTGGGGAAGCGTCAAGGGCCAACATCTGTAGTTTTGAAGACACAGCAGTAGCGACCCGCTGTAGTTTCGTCTCGTGTTCCTAAACGCTACGTAATGCTAGTAAACGGAACACCAAACTTGGCGCGCGCCGGGTGCAAACAAAGACAATCCGCACTACAAATTCGGTGGAACACGAGTCCGCTCACGTTGTGATATCCGCCGTCCACGATCAACCATGGCCCTTTCTCTTTGATGTCCCCTCCGTCCTCGCCCTTCAGAGTGTACTCTACGTCCTTGTACCAGCCGTTTCGAACCTCCGTCGCGAACTTGTCGAACTTGACGATGGTCTTGTCGTTCTGGGCGCCGGGGAAGCCCCGCGTACACGACAAAACACGCATGTCGTGGCTGACGGCAACATTGTACACACAGGTAGCGTNAAACTTGGCGCGCGCCGGGTGCAAACAAAGACAATCCGCACTACAAATTAGGTGGAACACGAGTCCGCTCACGTTGCTCACGTTGTGATATCCGCCGCCCACGATCAACCATGGCCCTTTCTCTTTGATGTCCCCTCCGTCCTCGCCCTTCAGAGTGTACTCTACGTCCTTGTACCAGCCGTTTCGAACCTCCGTCGCGAACTTGTCGAACTTGACGATGGTCTTGTCGTTCTGGGCGCCGGGGAAGCCCCGCGTACACGACAAAACACGCATGTCGTGGCTGACGGCAACATTGTACACGAGGGTAGCGTAGCCTTCCTTGCCAACGTGCGACGAGCGTTCCGAATAAGGACACACCGTCCACTGAAGATGCGTCCCATCCATCGATCCCATGGCGCCCGTCATTCCAACCTCGTCATAGGTTTTCATGATCTCCTTCAGCTCGTCTTCGTTCGGCATCCTCACCCATACCGGAAAAAACTCACGCGCGAATCTTCCTGTGAACTTGTGGAACAGTTGGTTCACCGTGGCCTCGCCCATGCCGGTGACCTCCGAGACATCGTCGAAATAGTTTCCTCTGCCCAGTATGCGCAGCACATCTACATAGTCCTGGAGAGCACCACAACATACATTAGGCAAATCCCCACGCCCATCTCTAGGATGCAGCGCGTGCTAGCTCACCTATTTCCACGGGGATGCAGCGCCTGGTGCCTCTCCCGCCAAGCTCGAATTCGTTCGTCGTGAATCCAGGCCACTTCCCCGCCTTCACTCCGTCCACAAGGGACAGGAAGAAAGGGTAGGGTACGCGGAACCTTCGCCGAAACTGCTTTGCCTCTCTCGTCGACGGGTCCTGCAATAGGTCGGCCTTCTCAAGCATCCTTGCCCAAGGCAGAGCGCGGTCGTCCGCTCTCGGCCGAACCGTACGGCGGCACTTGGGTCGCGGTTCTTCGTCGCACCCATCTTCTTCCTCCCGGCGCATTTGTCGCAGCGGCGCGACCAGAAGCTGCTGTTGATAATGCAGCGCGGCAAGCGCCAATGAAANCGTCCGCTCTCGGCCGAACCGTACGGCGGCACTTGGGTCGCGGTTCTTCGTCGCACCCATCTTCTTCCTCCCGGCGCATTTGTCGCAGCGGCGCGACCAGAAGCTGCTGTTGATAATGCAGCGCGGCAAGCGCCAATGAAAGCACGGCCAACACCGCCCTCAACTCTACGAGGCGCACCATAGCAGCAGCACGTCTGCGTGGGTGCGGTGTGCAACTGGCTCTCAGATTCAAAAAGGCGGGGGGACGCCCTGTTTTTCACGAACCCCCCCGGGATCCTGCTAGGAATTTGTGATGGCCCGAGTTGGAATCCGCCGCGGATTCCTGCTCGATTGGGCTGGAATTCCTCGAATTGGAATTTTTCGGGATTCCAACGTCCCCATAATTTAGCCTTTTTTGCCGCCTCCTGGAATTTCCGGGGGTTCGCGGAAAAATTTTTCATGGGGTCCCGCCAAAAATTCCCCGGATTCCTGCTCCATAACAACTGGCCTAAAATTGATTAGGCAAACATACGGGATAAAGTATTTAATCTGTGCTTTAGGGTTAGGGTTAGGGATAGGCGTAGGGTCTGCGTGCCCACTCCCCATTATTTTTCTAGATACTCTTGAAATCCTGCGTAGGCGGTCCGCCAAGACGCGCGATGCTTGCCAAAGGCAACGTGGCTTGAACAAATGATGACGAACAAAATACCCGCCGTCACCTCGCTGCTCGCCGTCAGACTGGTTCTCCGAGTGCGGCCAAGAATGGTATGGCAAAAGGGTCACTAAAAAACGTCGTGAAGCACTTTGCTACGACCTGGGCTGATCCGCCGCGTGCTGGCACGGCCGAAGGCAGGAAGGTAATGTCGTTCTTGCTGAACCTCGTATCGTGCGTGTGCGTGCTCCCGCCGGACAACGTGCCGGTCGTCCCCGCGCTAGACAGTCGTCTCCTCCCAGCCTTTGGTGCCCTTTGCGCAGCCGAGCCAGAGCTGTGTCGCTTGTACCCTGATGTTGGGGACGCCGCCGTGAAGGCGAGACGATGCACAGCCTGATGGAGCTGGTCATGGAGGTGGATGAGGACGTGACGAGCTGCGAGAGCAAAGCCGAAATCATTCAGATACTGCTAGCTTCGGAGAACGTACTCCTGCCTGGTGGAGCAACGGGGGACGGCACGCTCGTTGTAGAAGACGTTCGGTCCCCGCTTCCATCGGGAAAGGGCGCGGAACAGGCCGTGGTTGCACCGATCCCGGGGCCACCGGTGGGAAGCGCCAGCACGGACCGCGCCGTTCGTATGGCGGTGTACCACGAAACGGACGGGCCGCCGGAGAAGAAGGCGCGGCCATGGGCGGCCGTGAAGGGGGGCAGGAAGAAGAGGAAAGGGTGGGGAAAACCTTCCCCTCTAGGAGATTGGGACGGTGTTACCGCGGATCGTCTAGGTCGGGTAACAGTGAAAGAACTACAATTCAATAACCTGAAGGGTGCGTCTACAGTCATCACGTTTTTTTTTTCTTCTACGGGATGAAAGCGCGATTCGTTGTTAATGATGTCCACACACATGTTCACCGATGATTGTTGTAATGCATGGCGTCGACCCGTCCCGAGTACGCTTCTGAAGGAAACATACACGAAATTCCGCCCAGTCGTGTGGATTTTTTGCAGGCAATCGACGAACCAAATTGGCCTTGGGAGTGTGTATGTTTGAAGAGCGTTGACTGCCACGTGCCTGCAGTAGCAGCACGTGAAACGGCTTGCTCGCTTAAATGATTGCCAGGGTGAAGTACTTTGTTTTGACAGTTTAAGGCTCGAATTTTACCGTAGTATCATGAGAACGGCGGCATGCTGCTCTGGGCGGCATGCTGCTCTGGGCAGCATGCTGCTCTGGGAACCTGAAAATAGGCCAGGGCGACGAGCGTAGCGTTGCATGTTGCTCGACTTTTTCCAACTGTCACGGGCCAATGTATATTTTGTCGCATGCTATGGACGCTTTAGGACCGATTCCGTCCCCTCTGGGAGGACTGGCGGCTCTGCAAACCCTGCACATGCACAACGACCAACTAAGCGGTGAGTGATGCTACAGTTGCCCCCCGCCAACGTCTGCGTACTCCCACAAAGCGTTGTCGCGGTCGCACGCCAACAAATTAAGTTCTTGAACTTCTCGGCCATATTCCAGTGCGACCAACTATTTTTCTGAGCAATGCTTGCTGCTTTCGACCACTCATCCTTGAGACCACCTTCGTCCTTGCTCGCGTTCGATGCCAACGCCACAACCACTTTCGGAGTACGCAAGTGTAATTTATCGATCTTTTGTAAGCACGAAGATGCGGTTGTCCTCACCCCCCGCCCTTCCCCGTATCACCGCGCATAGGTCAGGAGAAGGCCTGATAATTCACTCGCATTGGTGAAAAATTCTGAAGGGTTGTTTGGGATGCACGTCGACATGCATCACAAACACCTGGAGGACATGCGCAAGGTTGAACCCTCATCATGTTCTGACCGCATTTAGCAGCAGAAATGGTTTATGGCTGGTGCTCCCAAGTATGTAGCAGTAGCATGGTGTTTATTTGAGTCCTTCTTGTCCGCGCTACGACCACATTGCCCAGTGTTATTCCGCCGGAGTTGGGTTGGCTAACTGCGTTTACGGTTCTAGAACTTCAAACCAACAACTCACCGGTGAGCGTCGTTGTTGGTTGTACTTTCAAGATGGCACCTCCATTTTTGTGTTGGTCGATGCTGGCGCATCCCATCGTCGTTTTTCTGTGTGCCCCCAAATGATCCCTGTGACATCCGCTGGGTTTCGCTGTTCGTGCGGTCGAGTCCAAGTCCAGCAAGTGCTGGAAAATGAAGTGTTCGTGTGATAATTTGTTGATGTGTTGTGTTTGCAAGTACGGAACCGTGATTCCCTGGTTTGCGATTTCATTCGCGATTAGAAAACAGATCGCTGCCGTCGCCTTCAGCCATCATCTGCCCGAATTGTTTTGTTGCCGATGTTCGTTTTCATTGTAAGCAAAGGTTGCTGGATTCGACCTTAATCTTGAATGCTATCGACAACAGAATTTCGTAGCATGCACGAGCGGCTTCAAACGCTATTTTGGGTGCCATGACGACGCATATGCATGAATTCTCCTCCATCCCCGGCCGTGAAATGCAACAAGAACCTCTCAATCTTTCCTCATATTTGTCGAGAGCCCCTGAATGCGTGGTGAAGGTGAGTATGCTCAACAAATGTCCTGGGGTACACCCGGGACGAAAGGAGCGAATTGCTTCTCATCTCGTTCAGCAACTGAAGGATTGAAGCATGTTTGTGTTCTTGAATGGCAGAAGCGTCCGTGACATCCATTCTTGCCACCAAATCCCTCAGGCGCCATCCCATCAAAGTTGGGCAAACTGATGGCGCAAAGGAAACTAGACGTCAGCGAGAACAATTTTTCCGGTGAGAACTTGCATTTGACTCTCTCGCGTGTAGCGGGTTTGACGGTTGGTGGTTGATACTTTGGGTTGTTCAATGCATACACTAGCGTATCGTCGTCGTTAGTGCCCGGTGTCCACCCCATGTCAAGCCTGTTACTTGTTGCCGATCAAACCACATGATTCAGGAGGCACAAAAGTGGTTGGTTGCACGCTTGTTACACAAAAGCTTATTGGTTGGAGGAAAGTAGACCGGGCACCGGCTCTGCAGCAGCCGTACAATGTTCCAATCACCGACGGTGATGAGTAACCCGTGGCACTCCGACATGGATGTGCTTCGCTCGTGGGAGGAATGAATTGGTGGCTGTAGTCTAGGCATCAGCCTTCTGTGTGTCCTCTCCATGCATGCGGTGTTGTTCGTTAACTAGGTTCAATCCCGCAGGAGCTTTCGCAGCTAACGCATCTGTCCTCCGCTTGGTTCATCGGGAACGACTTCGACGGTGAGTTTCTACGTGGCACGAACATGACAAGATTGGCTCGGCCTGGTCCCTGGCAGGTTTCTGATGCCACGGATCGCGTTTGCGTGTTTTTTTCATTGTGGGCGTATAGCTACGTCGGCCGGAGTCGCACAAAAGGGAAGCCACACAGTAGTAGGTTGTTCGTCTGTCCGCCTTCCTTCTGTCTTGATATCAGTACATTTTATGCTTGAAGGAGCTCCTCGAGCAGTTGCCTTCACTCGGCTTCATCTCCATTTCCATGAATCAACCTGTTTCTTGTACGTTTCTGGAGAATATCGGCAGTAAGATGGCTACCTGACCGGTACGGTTCGACTTCTACAGTAGAGATGGTGGAATCCCATCAGCCAAAATATTTCTCGTTCAAGATACGACAGCTCGATCATGTTTTGGGATGATGCCAGAGAGAACGTGAAACAGCAGTGACTGCTTGGGACCATCCGTCCATCGTTCGTTCGCGTTGCGATCATTCCGAACATTGATTCTGCCTCTCTGAGCTGAACGTGTTCTCTGCGCTGGCGGGCATGTTTTCCGTGTGCACGCTCTGTAGACGCGCAGGGGACCTTTCCAAATTCAACACAGCTGAAAGGCATTATATTTATTAGCCACGCCCGATCATATATCGGTCAAGCTGCCATTCCTTCGCACCGTATGGGCCCACCGGCGTTGTCGAGAAGCTAATGTTGAATGCCTAGATTTTCCATTGTCGTCTGATATCCATGCACGCACGTAGCCTGCTGCTACATAGAATACTGATCCTAACTAGTTGAAGAAACAACGCCTCCCCCGAGCAAACAAGGTGGACTGTATCGAGTACAACACAGTTGAGGGCATTCACACCTGCATACTTGGTGACACTCGCCTCTGGACCAGCCCACCGTGGTGGTCTGAAAAGCAGGAACAGGTGGCCTTGAGTGAGCTCGGATCTTGGCGCAGTACTATATCGACGAATTCGATGATATATCCTCGTTCTCCGTGCGAAATACGTCATGCAAGCATTGATCGTGTGGAGGCAGCCAGCGGCAGATAGGGTTTGTTCCCGTTCTGCGTTTTGTCGTCGAATTTGCGGCCATCGGCCTACGACTGTGCAACGTGGGGAACCTCACCTTGCGTTTCTTTTGACTCGATGAGGACGCTGGACCCCACTTTCGAACGCGGCGTGATGCGTCGCTCCGCTCCCCAGACTTATTAATCCCTCGATAGCGATCCGATCGATCGCCGGTCCTGCGAAAAAATCGCCCTGATAACCCCCCATAAAATGGGGCTTAGCGCTGAGTGCAACGGCGAACCTGTGCCGCGTTCCAGCGCTACTGGAGAGCGACCGTGAATCGCGGCGCGGAAGAAGCCACATCTCTCCCCCAACCGGTTTCAGTCGACGTCACGAGGAAACGGTTTCCCTTCGCCGCACCCGCACCGTTACGTCGGGCGTAAAGCATCATACAATTCTTTACAGGAGCATTAGGTGTGCGAAACCATTTCGAACTAACGTCGCAGAACATTTCAAAATGACGTTGGGTTGCAACTCTGTGGGTTGCGATGGTTGGTGCGTAAATCGGTTTCCCCCGCGCCAAGCATGCTCACTGAGTTTTAGCCAGCATGTCCTTTCTTAGTGAGCGCAAGAGTCTTCGACGAGGAGTGCACAAACCGCCCAACTCGCAGACGAAGCACACGTAGGCGTACTTTGTGGCTTGCGCTAATAGCGACGACCACATCCCCGTATGGCAGTCATGACATCTCCCGAGATTTTCCTTTTTGCTTTGTCTCGAGGCGGAGGGTAGCGAAAGAGATGATGCAAATGCATTCCACGAAGAGACGAGTTCTCGAGGTATTCCATTCTTTGTTCCTTATTCGAACCTTCTTGTCATTTTGAGATTTGCAGAATTTCTATCACAGTATTCCCACGTTGAAAGGTAAACTACGCAGGGTGCAGCAAGCACGTTCTGGACGTTACTTTCGGGCACTGGGTAGTCGGCCGTGTTAGGCCGAGAGAGAGAGGTTGAGAGAGAGCTAGAGAGCGAGTGGGAGAAGGACACTTGATTGGAGAGAGACGGTGGTGGTGGTGGAGAGAGACGGTGGTGGTGGTGGAGAGAGACGATGGTGGTGGTGGAGAGAGACGATGGTGGTGGTGGAGAGAGACGATGGTGGTGGTGGAGAGAGACGATGGTGGTGGTGGAGAGAGACGGTGGTGGTGGTGGAGGGAGAGAGGAAAGAAGAAGTGCGCAGCACGCACGCAAGCCTCATCATCGCACCGACCACACCCAAAGGGTCCCCGTGACTGCACCGGTGGTACCCTTCAACACACGAACGCCCAACACATATCCCCCTGGGATCCTCACGGCCAGATACTGCCTCGAGTATATCTAACATCCCCCGTGCTCGCAACAGTTTCTCACTGAAAACTTCGCAAACACCCGATATCTCAAACAAAAAACGTCTTTCCCAGAATATATACCATGAAGACTTGACCAGAATAATATACGGAAGAAATACAATTCAAATAAACATGAATGCTGCATCGCGCGTAACAAATACTTGGCGCGGGAAATGAAACTAAACGGGAAACAACACAAGACCAAAACACAACCCATCAGAAAAACAATAAAATGTTCATGCCAAGTTCATCACAAAATCACGGTGAGACTCGAAAGCATCCTTCGACAAACTCTTCGTAAGAAAGTCTGCACGCTGGTACGGCGACGGCACGTGGATGACCGAAATTTCCTTCCTCTCTGCCAATTCCCAGAGAAAATGGTGCCTTACATCTATGTGCTTCGAGTTCGAGTTTGAGATGGGGTTCTGCGCTAGTTGAATCGCCCCCTGGTTGTCCTCGAAGACGGGGATGCACGGCATGCCGACCTGCGGCAACATGAAACGCCAAATCTGCCTCAAAAACAAAATCTCCTTCACTACGTCGCCTAGCGCGACGTACTCTGCTTCTGTCGTCGAAAGCGTGACGCATTTTTGCGTTCTGGAAAACCAAGACACAGCGCCTCCTCCACACGTCACGATCCCCCCTGATACCGACCTACGGTCTGCTGCCTTGCTTGCAAAGTCCGCATCAGCGTATCCCTGCAAGCTGAATCCCTCTACCGTACCTCTCTGAAACGAAATACCAAAGTGACTCGTCCTCCTCGCATAGCCTAAGATGTCCATCGCTGCAGTCCAGTGTACCAGCTTCGGAGATGCGCAATACCTAGCTACTGCCCTTACTGCATTCGCAATGTCTGGCCTAGTCTGAGTCGCCA